TGAGTTAGAGCCAGAGGTGAAGAGCTAGAACTCCCATCATCCCTGACAAGTTAGACATAGTAAAAATGAAAATGAAGTGCATGAACTTAGAAGTACTGGGGGCAAGTGAGTTAAAATGGACAGGAAGGGGACACTTTGAATCAGACAACCACACAATGCTCTACTCAGGGGATGAAAAGAGAAGAGGAAATGGGGTGGCTTTCATACTAAGAAAAGATGTGGCAAAAGCAGTCAGAGGTTACAATGCAAAATCAGACTGAATCATTTCAGTAAGGCTTCATGGTAAACCTGTCAATATCACCATAATTCAAGTATATGCACCAACCACAGAGGCAGAACAGGGAAAGAATTGATAGATTCTATGAAGGAGTGCAGGAAGAAACTGACAGCATACCAACACAGGATATCAAGCTGATCACTGGAGATTGGGACACAAAAGTTGGAAGCAGTAGGATTAGGCAAAAAACAAAACAAAACAGTAGGATTAGGCAAAAGAAATGAAGCAGTATTCTTGAAAGTTTCTTTCTCCCTGTATCCTGGTAATACATAGAAGAGATTTTATACCCTCATACTTTCTGTGTTGATTTCCTGTTGAAATACTCTACACTAAAATATCTGTGCAAATCATATTTCAAGGATTAGTGGTGCATTTTTGCTTGTGTAAACTTCAAGTCATTCAGCTTAAATCAGCAGTGTTCTAGCAGCTTCACATATTTTTTTGTGAAGCCAACAACCTATTCATTGCAAAAACATTTTTCATACAACCAGAAAGAAGGCTACATACATGGACATCACCAGATGGTCAACACAATAATCCAATAGATTATATAATTGGAAGTAAAAATGGCAGAACTCTATACTGGTGGCCAAGATTAGACCTGGCACCAACTGTGGCACAGATCATGAATACTCATATCAAAAATAAGAGTAAGACTCAAGGAGAAAAGAAAACAAAAGCAGTGATTATACCAAACCATGATCTAAATAATATCTCAACAGAATTTACTGACAACATAAGAAACAAATTCACACTACTAAGCATAATAGACTAAGAACCAGAGGAATGATGGTTGAAGCCAGGGACATAATAAAAGAAGAATGCAGATGGACAGTTTTAATAAACAAAAAAGAGAGAGAGAGAGAGAAACCCATGGATGACAGAAAAAAACTACAAACAATAAAGAAAAGAAGAGAAGAAAAACAAAAGAGAGATAGGAACAAACTACAGTACAATGGCTTGTGCGGAAAGATAAAGAAAATATCTACAAGGACCAATGCAGAGAAATAGAAAACAACAAAAAGGAAGAATAAGAGATCTATTTCACAAAATCTGGGAAATCAAAGGAAAATTCAAACCAAGGACTGGGGTGCTCTATGACAATAAAAATAACATAATTCAAGACCAGGAAGGAATAAAAAAACATTGGATGTAATACACAGAAGAATTATACAAAAGATATGACAAATTGAAGGACACATGAAAGAGCCATATGAAGATATACCCCAAATTCTAAAAAGCGAGGCAGAAACTGCAATAAGAGAAATAGTGAAAAACAATTAACCAGGACCAATGATATTCCAACTGAACTGCTGAAATCCACATTAACAGAGTCAACTCTAGTGCTAACCAACATATGTCAACAGATATGGAAAACTAAATGATGGTCAACAGATTGGAATTAATCAATATACATCCCCATCCACAAAAAGGGAGACACAAGAAACTGCAGCAACTATAGGACCATAGCACTGATCATAACACACAAGCAAAATCATGCTCAAAATTCTGCAACATAGACTCAAACCATACATTGAAGGGGAAATCCCAGAGGTTCAAGTGGGGTTCAGAAAAGGAAGAGGCACTAGGGACCACACTGTAAACATATGATGGTTAATAGAGCACATCAGGGAATTCCAAAAGAAAATCAGCATGTGCTTTATAGACTATAGCAAAGCCTTTGACTGCAAAAATCATGAAAAGTTATGGAATGCCCTTAAAGATATGGGAATGCCAACACATCTGACATTCCTGATGAGGAATCTGTACTTAGGATGAGAAGCTACTGTCAGAACAGAACACAGAGAAACAGAGTGGTCCCCATTTGGCAAAGGGGTCAGACAAAGCTGCATCTTTTCACCCTATCTGTTCAACTTGTATGCAGAACATATTATAAGAAAAGCAGGCTTGGACACACAAAAAGGAGGAGTGAAAATAGGAGGAAGGAATATTAGCAATCTAAGATATGCAGATGACATTATAGTACTAGCAGAAAACCTCACAGATCTGGAATGCCTATGAAGGAAAATCAAAGAAGCAAATGCAAAGGCAGGTTTAATGTTGAACATAAAGAAAACAAAAATAATGACTACGAAGGACCTTCACAATTTCAACCTAGACAATGAAGAAATAGAAATAGTTAAAGAATTCTCATACCTGAGATCAAACATTGCAGTCAGGAAATCAGAAGAAGATTAAGAATGGGGAGGTTGGCTATGAAAGAACTACAAAAGATTATAAAATGCAAAGATATACAACTCAGCACAAAAGTTAGAATTGCGCAAGCCATTGTATTCTCTATTACCATGTATGAATGTGAGAGCTGGACACTTAAAAAAGGTGATAGAAAGAAAATCAATGCATTTGAGATGTGGTGCTGGAGAAGGGTGCTGGGGATCCCATGGGCAGCCAAAAGGACAAACAAGTGGGTCCTAGAGCAATTCAAGACAAAAACTTCCCTAGAAGCCAAGATGACCAAACTGAGGCTGTCATAATTTGGACACATCATGAGATGGGAGGACTCATTGGAAAAGACAGTAATGCTGGGAAAGGGAGAGGGAAGTAGGAAGAGAGGAAAACCCCATACTAGATGGATGGACTGTATTAAGGAGATCATGGGGCTGGCGGAATTAAGCAGAGCATTGGAGTATAGAGGGTCTTGGAGATGTCTCATCCCTAGGGTCACCATGAAGCAAGATCAACTCAAGGGAAGTTAACGA